GCAGTGAGATGTATAAATATGGACGTGTCTTGAGCCGCTGAATCCAAATCTGCCCTCCTATTTGCGGAACGATTCTCCAAAGGGAGTTACGGACCATTTAATCTTAGCTCCGTTCTGCTCAAGTTGAGAAGGATAACTGCAAGCGGCAAGCCGCCGATGGCCTAGTGGATAAGTGCATTGCTTCAGAGACACGAGGTCGAATGTTGGAATCCTTGGCTATCGAAATCTTTTGCTTTTCATTCAAAACACTTGGTATGAGCCCTCCGAAATTTCTATTTGGCCATTTCACCTGGTTTCTTGATTATTTGCCAACGGAAGGCGGGCGATTCCCCATGTGTGGTTCCTCTTGAAAACTTTTTTATTATGAGGATAACCGCATGTCACAAGGGTTTTTGCAATGAAATACCATCATATTCATGTTCAGCGGGTCAAACTACCCCTGGGGACAAGTTTCTAGCCGAATCTGATATTTCGACCGAACTTGGAAAATGTGTGCTGTTTCATGGGTAATCAGAAGCAGAGGGAGCTCACCTACCATCAATGAATGGTCTCGAGATGGAACTCCCTCGTGGTAAAGAGGACAATGATGCAGACGGCATGAATAAGTAAGCCGGGTAATGTCTTCGCGAAAAGGCACGATGAAGAGGTATTTCAGTTTGAAGACCAGTCATCACCAGTATGCTAGTCGTAGTATCGCTGTGGCTATCAGTCAGCCATAGCTATTCATAACCCATTTTCTCGAAGATGAGTTAGAACCTCGGATTTCGCTAGGGTGACGTCTCTAGGGGTTATTTGACCCCCTGAACACGAATATGATACCTGTTTTGCGCGAAGAGCGCTGTGAGTTGCGCTACAGGTGCTAACGCTTTGGCGCTGGCGCGCCCGGAAGAAGAAAAGCAATAAAGAAAAACCTCACAACTCCGCTCAGAGAATCGTTCCGCAAATTTTAAAGATAGTCTTGTGTTCATCGTGGCAAGGTGAGTACAATGATGTACATTTCGTTGCAAATGGCCGGGCTGACGTGTTGGCCTTTCCTGGTCAGCTTGTGCAAACACAGCAAAGATTAAATGGTCCGTAACTCCCTTCAGAGAATCGTTCCGCAAAATCGGAGGGCAGATTTGGATTCAGCGGCTCAAGACACGTCCATATATATACATCTCATTGTAAATGGCCGGATCGACCTGTTGGGGTTCCCTTGTTAGGCTGCAGCGAATGCATCCCGTCTCTACAATGGCGTGAAGGCCGGCTTCACAAGCCTTTCAAAAACATGAAATTGAAAGGGTATGAGGAATTGAAGGTTCCTCTTTAGTACTCGCCACAGAGTAATAGATATGAAGCCCGAGAGCTGCTGAAGGAACGTGGAGCTATTATGGAGTGTGCGGTACTCCAAAGAAACATGATCCATAGCCACACACTCGTTTGCCCACACACCCACGCTCCTTAAATGGCATTGAGCTGTTGGCAGCAGTTAACAAAACTACCGCAGAAAGAACGAAGGGTATATACCTGCTTATAGCTTGCCTCCGAGCCTTATACCCAGAACGACGGATCGCAGCCCTAATAGAGTCTTCCATGTCTTCTGAAGATAGGAAAAGTGTAGCGTTCAGAAGAGTAAAGAAACTACAAACATCCTACCATCTCCTGCTTCTAAGGGAGCTGCCAACATGACGAGAAAACTCTGACGGGCTTTTTTCTGCATACGCAGGATCTCGTCTCACTTTATGAACTCCTGATAATATGTTTATAACACCAGTATTGACGGAGAGGAAGTGCCTCACCTTGTACACGTGTCGATTCCCCCTCTCTTCAGAATACTTGGCAGCAGTACACTCATGGCTCATACTGCAAGGGTCGGACAAGAATTCGTTTTCAATAACCTAAGTGATGAGTTAACAGAAGTCATTCCTACAACTTCTGTGATTTTCCTCGCTTACTTTGAGAAATCCTCCGGATACCGCTTCCTGTTCACGCTTTCTCCTCTCTTTTAACAGTAGATGCAGGTGTATCCATCAACGTTTTTGCTCTTGTACGCTCGGTAGAAGGTGTACGAACGTGTCGTTCCTGGAATTCTGTAAATCAGCACGTCGTTCTTTCCTCTTTTGCTTACCTGTCTCTCGCCAATGTATCGCTGTACACCTTCGATGTTCTGTAGCAGCACGAGAAGCGGAGGCATCTAAGGTACCTGGAAAAAATATATACTCTGCGTGTTCCTCTTTGCCTTCACGAACTCAGCAGTCGTTTTTCACACGCCTCCAGCAGCTGCTCTGTTTTGCACCACAAATATTGCAGACATTGCGTGGAGAAAATGTGCTATAGCTGCTGCTGCGGAGCCATTTGAAGTTATCGTTTCAAGTGATAGTCTGATTGGCATGTTCAGCAATAGGAGCCATCATTCATTCTGTGCTTCTCTCGCGAACTTAATGTATTGTGGTGGTCGGTTGGAGACGCTTCGAAATTCTCATTTCGATCAGCGTTGAGTCACAGTGGTGATCCGTGCAAACGATTGGGCCTGCGACGTAGCGCAGTAGGGAGTGAAACGGGTTTTTAGAGTTTAGTACAACCGGAACCTCGGTCAAATAAGTTGCAAGAAGCTCCTCGAGCTATTTTAGGTTTTTGGCAGCAGCGGTTCGAAGTACAAGTCGGACAAAGAACAGTTGGAACTAGAGAAGGGTCGGAAGGCATACGGAAATAAATTTACATTAGCTACTATTTTACAAAATTGCTGATTGCAATTAGTTTGCTTAGTCACTGACTAGATTGATGTGACCAGCCAGTATTCCAGCCACAGGATACCGCAAAATCTGCAGGAGTTGTCGATTGAAACGATGTATGGACATAGGAATGCAACCAGATAGTGAGTTTTCCTTCTTTATTCTCACTATTTCTTCCATTAACTTCGAGTCGTCTTGAATTAAGTTCGCGCTTTCGAGCATTCTTATATGTTAGCACCGTTGATATAGTCAAGATCACTTGGGGCGTTGTCAAGAGGCACGGAATGGGCATACTCGCGGCGTTTTCATCGTTTTCCTTCAAGATCTAACTGATCATTATTGGTGAAAAAGAGAACCGAAGGCGAGCTCATTCCACTGTTGCTGACACCGCCCCAAGTAGTTGCGACTGTACCAACCATAAATCAATTCTGCTACGAGCAGTTCAATTGTGCTGAACATGCACTTCGAGAAGCATCTTCAGATGTCCAGCATAAAAGGTGTCGTCGCAGCAGCCCTACATCTACAATTTCGAAGGTGTTCAACACAGCACTTCAGCCGTTCCGCGGTCATATTCCAAACAGCAATGTTTCCAAGGTTCCATCACCAACTCTAGTCGATGTCACGAAATTCTGCCAAGGTCACGACTTCCTTAGTACCTAGTGTTTCCAATTAGTCATGCTGTCAATCACTTTTTTCGGAATAATGAGTCGATTCCAGATTACAAACGAAGGGAGGACACTACACCGATTTACAGTGAAGTTTGTATTGACACGCTAATCTCACCTATTTTTGGACTGGCCAGTACGACGTTCGGAATAAATTTATGATATTTTGCTGAGCAGTTGCCGAGATTTTATTTTTATTGGTAGAGAAAGAGACTTTCCCACCGTGGAGCAATTAGAATGTCCGGGAGCCCGTCACGCAATTAGGTCCGTTGCGGATGGCGCGACCATTCTAGAACAGAGCTTGCCTCATCCTTTGTGGTACCACATGTTTTTAGGCAGAACGCCTAGAGTATTTATCGATATACATATCTCCTCAAGGAACTAATGCGCTCTCGTCATGTGCCCGCTGATTACAAGGTACATTATAGCGCGACCGTGCTGAGGAGAACCTTTCCACAATATTTTTTGTGGTGTAAGGCGCTACCATGCGCCAAGTCGTAGAGACGCACTCGAGGACACGGAGGAGAATATCCATGATTATAGTAATCTACTGCAAACTCGGATGCAAAAATATTGACTAATGTGCAGGTATGAATGACAACCAAAGTACATTCCATACATTAGGGCAGCAATAAACGTGGTTGTGAGAGTGGCGAGTTTCTGGACGAGAGAGAGGCAGAATGGTGTGTTTTATAGAAAAGAGTGGGCAAGAGAGTAGGTCGCGCCTCTCAACGCTCCTTTTAGCCCTCCTATATGGGCGATATGTGGAAGGCAGTCGTGGTTGGGACGCTCAACTCCGGCACATTTGGAACAAACTTGTTGGCTACGCTAAAATTCTAAAACCCAGACGAAAAGTGGCAGCGCTATAAGTCTCTGCTAACACACTGACACACTGACGTACTTCTTCAGAAGAAACCCTGGAAGACAAACTGTGCACTCTCCTCCGTGGATCCTGTTCCTTGCCCGGAAAGAGGTGAACAGGAACCTCACTATCGTACCACTTTTTCCGGTCAAATGTGAGTCTACGGGCAACTTGGGCCCACTTCCTCTGAATGCGCCGATCTTCTATTTTTCGCTGCACTCTCTCGTCCTTGACAAACTGCCTCTTTCACCATTATGTGAAAGGTAAGTGGCTCAGCCTGCCTGGAATCCCCTCCCTCTGGGAAAGCCCATTTTCTGACTAACCGCATACACTGCTCTACATATTGATAGTTCCAACCCATAAATATTACAAAATCCCGTCTTACATGAGGTTTTCAAAAATGCCCTCAGAAAGTGAGGTAGTAATCAATACCATGCATGCCAACACCGGGAACTACTTGGAAGCCCAAGTTTTTTTTGTTCATTTTTTGAAAATTGGTACTCTGACAATTCCACAAAATGATAGTTCCACCAAACAAATCTATCATCCAACAACAAGTGTACAACAAAACGAATGAATTGTTAATTTAGTAATCTATTGGAGCTCCATTTCTCCGAATAAGTTGGAAAATGCGGTTGTCCATGCTCGAAAAGAGGTTTAGTCACGGGTGCCACCTCGGCCCCGTGGGTTGAAGGGGAACCGAGGTTGAAGGGGAACCGACAACTGATTGATGCAACTGTTTATTTGAACCCGAGTAGTGTCCGAGGACACCACTCTCGAGCTCACGCTTCTTCACAATAGTCGGCCCTTATATACGTGGCTCGAAGGGGCGGAACCGGAAGTGCTCGCTATTGGTCCGTTCAAAGTGCTGACGTCACACTTGGCGGGAAACTAGGCGTCGATTGGCCGAGCGTCCGCGTCGCATATCGATTGATTCGGCTCACGTCCCTAGGAACTAAGAATGATAAGGAGTGAATAACGAACGAACGGAAGAACATAACTAAAATCCTACTATATATAATCCGCTAAGTTTGTCTGTTGGTGTGTGTGTGTGTGTGTGTGTGTGTGTGTGTGTGTGTGTGTGTTTGACCGGAAATTCATAACTTCCTTCAAAACAGTGATCCTACTATATATAATCCGCTAAGTTTGTCTGTTGGTGTGTGTGTGTGTGTGTGTATGTGTGTGTGTTTGACCGGAAATTCATAACTTCCTTCAAAACAGCGATAATGCGCTCAAACTGATAATGATGTAGGAGGTCGGGCAGGAACATTATTGGTGGGTGGCAGGAAGCGATAGCAGTTGATAAGATAACATGAGGAGCCTTAGAAGGGAAGGATCACCATCTCCATAACGCGCGTCACAGCGACGCTAGGACTTTGGTTCCAAGAAGTAGGATTATGGGCAAGATGGGAACATCATTGGCGGGTGGCAGGAAGTGATAACGGCTGATAAGATAACATAAGGAGCCTTAGAAGGGAAGGGCCACTAAATTCATAGCGCCGGCCACAGCAACGACGGGACGTTGGATCCAAGTAGAGAGATAGGGGGCAGGATGGGAACATTTTCGGTGGGTGGCAGGAACTGATAAGAGCTGATAAGATAGCACAGGGGGTTTAGAAGGGGAGGGGCACAAAGTCCATAACGTGCTTCACAGCGACGGTAGGACTTTGGTTCCAAGAAGTGATATAGAAGACAGGATGGGAACATTATCGGTGGGTGGCAGGACGTGATAACAGCTGATAAGATAACAACAGGAGCCAAGAAGGGAAGGGTCGCCAAATTCGTAGCACCGGTCACAGCGACGATGGGACGTTGGTTCCAAGCAGTAAGATAGGTGGCAGGATGGGAACATTATTGGTGGGTGGCACGAAGTGATGACAGCTGATAAGATAGCCCCGGAAATGCACAGCGGAGTTGTAGCCACACTGGGGAACTTCTCTAGCAAGTAAGTCAAAGGTGCTCAGGGAACATTAAAGGTGGGAGATAAATTCTGACAGTGTCAAGGGCTTTTGGGAGTCAGTATATGCTCACATCACCGTGGCCAAACAATCAAGACGAAGGCTTAGTGAGTCAAGATGTTTCTATCCCTTGGCAAAATCCCTCAGTTTAGCGGTCGGATTCGCTTCCACCCCACCGCTAAACGCTCAAGTTCCACCGGAAAGAGGATGTCTGGAGTTGTTAGGGAATGATAATAACCATCATGATTTCGATATTTTCTATGCTGTCCTATTTTGAACGAATGGAACGAATGGTGCTTTTAGAAATATGATAAGCACCAAACATCGGCAAATGCTCATTAAAAGAGAGAAACATGACGAAATGGGCCGTTTTCGAAACATGGGAATTACGCTGTGTTAATGCTCAGCACAGAAATCCTGTCAGCTATCAGTACCATAGGTTTAACCGTGCGCGCAGTAATGCGCGTCAGCCAGACTGGTGTTTAAAAGACTACAACAACGTGACATGCCCCGCCACAACAAAGAGTCGTCCCGACTCTATGCCCGCGACTCCTTCGACGACTTAGTGGCGTTTTCCCCCGAACTTACCTTTCCTGTCTCTCTTTCTCCGCGGGACTAATCCTCCTAGCCCGACGTCAGCTTTTTTTCTGGGTCTCACTCTCTTCCCCCGTGTTGTGGTTGTCCTGAGGGGTTCACCTGACATTCCCGCTGGTAACTTTACCAGCATGTCAAAAGGTACCCTAACCGGGTCTCGAACCCCTTCTATCCAGGTTATGAGGGCGCTGTTCTCACTCGTTTCAATCACGCGATAAGGCCCATCCCACGGGTTTACAAGCTTTGGGTGACGGGAGGCCTGCTTCTCCCTAGGGGCCTTCATGTACACTCGGTCACCGACCTTCGGTGTCTTCAAGCATACCTGTCTGTTTCGATCATATGCGACTTTCATCCTCTGCCGCATCTTATCAGACTCCTCGCGTGCATACTCACGAGCTAGTTTCGTGGCTGCTGTTACTTCCTGCGCGTAGCTCTCCAGATCCACGACATACTTGCTAGGTTCTTCACGCGGCACTGCGTTCCACGGAATGTAAGGATCAAATCCGTGCAGCAAGTAAAAGGGAGACTCTCCCGTTGTCTCATGCGCTACTGTATTGTACGCCAGCACGCGATACGGGAGCTGTGTTGAAACTACGCTCGCCTTCTCAGCTCTTGGCTGGCCACGCGGTATTGGATATATGATTGATAGATAAAAGATGAGAATACACCAGACCCGAAAGTTATTGAATGGTAAGCAAAGTCTGGCTATAATACTAACCGTACCTTATTGATGTATCGAGCCACCGATATTGATCGTAGATATTGAATATTGATCGATAGTTATTATTGGAATATTGTATATCCGAGAGATTATTGATGCGGATTATCGGATTCTACAAAAGGACACTAAATATTTATTGAATATATAGTAATACGAACAAGTAATAGGAACGATGGGATGTCCTACAGAATACAGCGGTGCAGTCGATAGGGAAGAGAAGATGGTGGACGGAACCAGCGCAGCTCGGCGTGACGCTCTTTATACTGCAGCATCTCGTCGATCTCGCTTCCGAATGAAAACATATCTGTAAAATGTTTCTACATCTCAGGAAAACATCTGTAAAATGTTACAAATGTTTCTACAGCTCAGCCTAGTGATGAGAAATCTCCCTGAAAGTAATCGATACAGCTAAGAAATGAATAGTAAACCTTCTGACCATATTTACAAAAAGTAGCGAGTTTCGCTACACTCCGGGCGGCAGATCATCGATACATGGCGTCACGGATCTGCTCTCTTACCATTCTGATCCTTTCAGTTATGCGGTCTTTTGCATCCGGAATTGTACATATGGCTCTGTGATGAGCCTGTCTGCTGATTAGGAATGTCAGAGCTGTGTCCTGCACGATTCCACAATACCAGCAGCCTTTGTCCTTTGCCTAACAATCTCTGGTTCGGTGACCTTTCTTAAGACATAATCGACAATGGTCTTCTCGCACAATGAAGTCATAGCGCTCCTGTCCATCAGTTATTGTTGTACAAGAATCCGAAAAGTGGTGCCCAACTCTCCCGCAGAACGCGCAGTTAACGCGCACTGGCCCCTCGGGTACCTCTCCAATTTTTCTCTGGGGTAGAAGAAAGGCGGCCTCTGTAGAGCCCTTCGAGTTCTCTTCTCGAGGTCCTTGATATACTGTTGACGTTCCTCTTCTTGTTGTCCTCTGCGAAATTGCTCTTCCTCGTATTGGGCTTGCTCACGCCTATTTCGTTCTTGCTCTTCGCTCTCATGAAGGCTTCTGCGTTCAGCAGCCTCCGGCGGGTCATCATCATTATCGTCCTTGTTTTCTTCAATCAATCTCTTCATATACTCGTCGTCAGACAAGATATGGACCTTGCTCGTGCTCGGTCCCTCCTCTATGTCGTCTAACTTTCTTTTTGTCGGTGAGTGTTGGCTCGTTTCCTCGTTGTTACGACTCACTATTTTGAGGCTATTCCATCAAGCTTTACCTCTAATGAAGCAACAGTCTTATTGAATACTGATATGAATGGCTCTTTATTTTGAATTTTTTTCCTCGTAGACCTGCTTTTCTGCTCGTGACATTTCATCTTCGATGTCGGAGATATTGCGGTCCAAGCGTTCCAGATGCTGGTGAACTCGTGTAGCCCATGTTTTCGTATCGTGCTCTTTGTTCTGAACCCAAGTAGTTCTTCTTCTTGCCGGGATCCTTCCGTCATTGGCCATCATTTGATATATCGAGTCAAATAGCATGAATCTCTGCGCCAGGCTCAGGAGCTTCTCTTTAGCGTATGTGGCCGTTTTCCACATGCGTGAAGTAGCCACAACCAGTTCCCCTGCTGTGAATGTTTCAATGGCTTTCAATATCTTCTGCTGTCGTTCTGTTCTTGTGGAGGGTGGCAAGAAAGTGGAAATCATTGAAGTACGAGTTTCCTTCTTCCATGACGTGGATGGTGTTTCTGAAATAGTGGAAATCAAAAAAAGAGAAAAGAAAATTAAGTATCGTATGACTATTGAATTATTCAACTAGTTCTACGGTTATTGGCTGCTTTACCGTTTTTAAAGCTGCTTATTATGCGTAGTTCGAATTTTCAAGCATGTTTTCGATGACTTTCTGAGGATTATTATAAGACACTTGAGTACAGCTACGGTCAGTCTGGGTAGGAGCAGTATTATCCATACCAGTAAACGAAAGCCGAAGGTGGTCAGGAATAGATAAGTGACTGCTATTCCGATAAGTACCCCCACTACTCCCATTATTAGGGTCTTATACCAATGGAGGCATACTGTAGCTATATGAAAAAGGTCGGGGAATCCGAAATCAGAACTGGATGACGCATCTCCTGCAACCCATTGTGCAATGATCCCCGTGGCGGAAGCCGTAAATTTCAGAATTCCGGCTATTTCAAAGCTAGTTGCGATCTTACCGCAGTATATCGAGCAGTTGAATACCGCTTGTGCCTTCGTGGAACTGAAGCGCAATGTTGACGTGACTCCGGTAGTATTGCATGGGATTGTGAATCCTATTTGTTTTTTTCACATACGACTTCCGTATCGACATTGTTCCTGGAGGAGTGACAAGTTGACTTGGGTAAGGGCTCCTTGGGCGCAGTTATAGCATCCTATCAGGTCGGTAGCCTCCGCTTTGCAAAATGCTTCGTCCACTAGAATCTCCGACTCAGCATGCCCTGAAAAGTGCATGATGATTTCCGCGGTCACCATGTCAGTCACCTGAGCTTCTACTCTTGCTCTTGCGTGCTTGTGAAACAAAAGCGAAGGAAAGGTGAGGGGCAACTGATTTCTTACGTTGGTTATCCATTTAGTTAAAGGGAAGTTTTCGCAGTTACATGTTACCTTTGTTTCAGCCGGATGACACACGCAATCGTCTAAAACGGAGCAGTTCAGGTTTTGTGCGTCTATATTTGTAGGGCACTGTAATGGCCGAATATTGTTTTTCCATATTGCCGTGCGTACTGAGTTGGAAATGAATTGAGATTGTAAACGTTGCAGAGGGGGAATCCCCAGGGAAGTGAGTGTGAAGCTGAACGATTTCTACACTGTGGGGACATTGGGCACTAGTTGGGCCATTTTTGTTGAGAATCCACGGTTAGCCCTTTGAAAATGCGTCAGTTTTACCTCTGCTGATTCAATCCATCTGTTACAATGGAAGACTTCGAACACTTCGCTGTTGATGGGCTCCATATAAATTCTGTAGAACAGACATCCGGAGCTTGGCGCAAGGCAATCGCATCCCAGCCAATCGCATGATTCCATGCATGCCGTATTGCCTGGAAGGTGATTCCTTTTTCCAGTTCAGGTAAAAGACTAGATCTTTTGATCGCTCCACATTTTTCACCTACGCACGAGCCTCGATGCGCGCATCTTTTACTGGACACTACTCTATGAATCGCGTCCCTTGTAAAGTAGTCCGTTTCAGGCTCGCACTGCAGTTTTAGCGAATTCCATCGTAACCGGATTTCATGTAGTGTAGTGTTATTGCTTGACAGTCTGAGGCAAGCCTCTTTCTTGAAGCTTTTGATCTTGAAAACTTCCGACACTTGGATCTTGCAGGAACGTGTACCGTCTCTCGTACAGGTCGTCGAGTGATGAGTGAAGACATCCACTAACTGACATCCTGGCAGCACGGGTTTAGAGCTGATAATATTGCTAAGATTTCTGCGAGATGTCGTCGACGTGCGACCCCCTTCCTTTACGACGAAATACCAGTCGTATTGCCTGTGTTCCCAGGGCCTTTGTCGCTAACCAGATGGTACCGGCAAGGAATCACATGGAGAATCTCACTGTAATTGGTATGTACAGAAATACATAACATCCTGTCGCTACAAAGCAGCAGCTGTCGCCAGTATCGCGCTTATTGGCCAGCACTCAGGGTTGAAGATATTAACACTGCAAAACGTGCAATCTATTGATGGACAAAATGGTGCCGCTGGGCAGAGACTCTCAATAGTTTCTATAGAATGAGGGAGCCAACTTCCACTGCGCTTTGTAGTCATGCAGCAATACCTCCGGTGGGAAGGCTACCGTTTCGTTCACTCGCGGGTCTTTTATTTCAATACAATGATGGTCACCACAAATTTCATACGAGAAACGTTCTGGTAAGTACAGGACAACCCCCTTTTCTGTGCACCTGATGGCTCGCTCCGAGGGCTTGTCAGGTGTTCCCATCGGAACTGCTCGTTGGGGACTGATCAGTAGTGTGAACATCAAAACCTGTATGACTGCAATGAAGAAAGCCATACCCGAGACTGATGATCTGCAACCTTCGGTATGATCTTCTTCATTGTAGTCAATTTTCTTACGTCGCCGAAGATTATACCTAGTAATCCGGGCCTCTGCAGAATCGGTTTTCATCTCGGTGCTGGCCTCCTTCACTTCTGGTGAGTGCTCTTCTATAAGAGGGTGTTCCTCTAACTCCAGGGGGACTAAGAGATTCATAGGGCGGCGAATCAAACGTCGATTTGGTAGCCGAACCATTGCTTCTCGTATTGTCCCTTTGCTGTTCATTACAGTCTTCTCGATAATTCCCATCTTCCATGTATGACGAGGCATTACTGCGTCGCAGACGTATGACATGTCCTTCTCGGGGAATTTCGTTGCAGCCTTTCTTAATCCCTAGTGCGGAAGAGTACTTCTTCTCGCAAGCTTGTGAGATATTCAGTGTGCCAAAGCTGCCAAAATCTTTCCGTGAGTTTGCAAGACGTTTCGAGAGCTGCGATGACTTGGTTTTTGGTCTGTATTGAAAGTACTTCTGCAGACGGAAGATACAGCGGGTCGTTATTTTCATCTCCTTCGTTCAAAAAGGGGAAGTGAACACCTATATCCTTTTGAAGAAAGTCTATTGGACGCAATATTTGGGTTGCGTCAATATCGTTGCCGACATAGGTAAGTGGACGAGTATTGAGTATTGATTCAAGTTCCACTGTGATAGTTGAGAGTTCTTCAAGCGTTGCTACTGAGCCTCCCAGAGTCTTGTGAAGAGAGTATTTGACGGATTTGATAAGCCTCTCGTAAAACCCTCCTTGCCAAGGAGCGTACGGCGTTATGTGTTTCCATTGAATCTCTCTATTACTCAACTCTTTTGCTATCGTCGGGTCATTCAGCGCCGATTGAATATTGTCCCTCAGTATTGCTTCACCCAGTAAAAACGTCGGGGCATTGTCGCTAACTATTGTCTTGGGGATCCCCCGTCTGGCAAAGAACCGACGTAGCATGTGCAGGAACGCCCCAGTGGAGAGATCTGAGACAACGTCAAGATGTAACAACCGGGTGGCCATACAGGTGATGATTGACCCAGAACATTTCCCTTGCTCCCCATCAGGACGTTTTATTGATAGAGGACCAAAGTAATCCAACCCTACATGACTGAAAGGGTGAGATCGCACGACTCGTTCCGTCGGGAGATGATCTTGAGGAGGGTATTGATAATGGTAATTTATTGAATTTTTGACATTGCAGACATCTCCGCACTAGTCGTAATACCTGAGAGCGGAGCTGGGGAATCCAATTATTGCTGTCGTATCAGTGCCATCGTGTGATTGGTACCTGGGTGATAGTTATTGTGCACGTCAGTGATGATTAGGTCTAACAAGGATTTTTTGTAGGACCAGTATGGGAAATTTAGCCCCACTGGGTATGTGGGCTCTGCCAAGGCGCCCATAGCATCTCAAGATACCCTCTTCATCATGCCGAATATTAAGGTACTGCAACTTCCTTTTGATATCGCTTGTAACTGACGTCCGTTGATGATGTTTAATGAGAATTTTACCTGCAATCGCAATCTCTTTCCCAGTGAGGACCCCTGGGCTTTCAGAAATATCGGAGTCTGCTACAATGGAAAGGGTTATCTTGTTGGTAGCATGCTTATTGACTCTGGAAACGACGATCATGATAAACCGCAAGGTGTACGCTAGTATCCGTTTCGCCTTGGTGAACGTTCGTACATGCCCTCGCTGGATTAGTTCCGATTTCTCATAGGTCGACACCGAACCTGTCGTGGAGAATATTTGATGACTTTTTGTCGTGTGCAAGCTATTGATGTCTTCTCCTTCTTCATCTCGTGGAGCATCGAACATTTTATCCTTTGCAGGCCACTCGCTTAGGTCCATCTGCAGGAACGCAGGTCCTTCCCACCAGAAGTGGTTAAGAAGCTCATCCGCCGATAATCCTCGTGTACCGCAATCCGCTGGGTTGTCTTCGGATGCAACATACCCGAATCTCACGAAGAGGTGCTGGTTATTGCTATGTTCTGCTATCTTTCGCACTTCGCCCAAGCGGTTCAGAACGAAAATCCCTGTTTCTCGTGGTGGAACTTTAATCCAACTCGGGACTATTTCTGAGTCAGAAAAAAACATAAATCGCCTCGATTATGAGGGATTTTTGTAACTGTGTGAGCACCGAGGAAGTGAGACGCATTGCTAGCGTGAGCGCGTTCAGTTCAAGTTTCGGTATTGTCCCTTGTCCATGCAGAGGAGGTAACTTCGATTTTGCCATCAATGTTGAGGACATCGTTAGCGGTTGGTGGAGATATGTACAGGCTGTCATTCCGCTAGTACTGGCGTCAGCGAAAGTGACTAGTATCCCCTTGCTCATTTTCGGAGCGATGAATCGGGGCACAGTCTTTCTGAATCCATGAACGTGACTCCGTATGTTTTCCCAGACTGCCGCTTTGTCCTCTGGTAACTTGCTGTCCCAACCATATTGCTCCTTCCACAGGTGTTGCAGGAAGATTCGGGCCTTGTGGAGCAGAGGGACGAACCAACCGAGAGGATCGTAGACTGTCGCTATTGCACTTGTTATGGTCCGTTTAGTGATAGTAGGATTATCAGGTATAGAGCACGACGCCTGAAACGTGTCTGTTGGAGGATCCCATTGGATTCCTTGTACCTTTGGCGAATCCC